TGTGGGATATTCTTATAGGACATTCTTTCGAAATTCTCTTGAAAGGCAATGTCCGATGCTCTTGTGGGGGACATTTACGGAACATTCTCGTAGTATTGTTTCGTGGGATATTCTTATATGATGCTTTTATGGGGCACTCTTGCGGAACACTCTTGTAGGACATTTTTGTGGGATATTTTGGTGGGACATTCTTGTAGGACAATCTTGTCGGACACTCTTGTGGGATATTCTTGCGGAAAACTTTTTATAGAATTGTCTTGTGGGACATCTTTGCGATACACTCTTCTAGGGCAATTTTGTGGGATATCCTTCTAGAGCACGCTTATGGAATGTTTTTGTGGGATATTTTTGCGAAGTACTCTTGAAAGATACTTTTGTGGCACATTTCATTTTTGTATATCACTCTTAGAATGCTATTCTTGTCGGATATTCTTGTGGTGCATTTTTGCGGAACATTCTAACAAGATTCTTTGGTGGAATATTCTTATATGATATTCTTGCGGAATATTCTAAAAGTACATTTTTATTGGACATTCTTCTTGTCTTCTTGTGGATATTCCTATAGGACATCCTTAGGGATATTCTTGTAGAACACTCTTGTGAGATATTCTTGTGGGACATTCTTATTGAACATTCTTATTAGACATTCTTCTTATGGGATATTCTTATAAAACATCCTTGCGGGATATTCTTGTAGAACACTCTTGTGGGATATTCTTGTGGGACATTCTTGTAAGACACTCTTGTGGGACACCTGTGGGCGACACTCTTATATATCACTCTTGGGGGATATATTTCTAGGATATTTTTGTCGGACTCTCTTGTGGGGCATTCTTGTGATTCACTCTTGTAAGATATTCTTGTCCGACACTCTTATGGGACAATCTTGCGGGACATTCTTATAGTCAAAGAACACTCTTGTGAAATACCTTTGCAAGAAATTCTTGTAGGATATTTTATATTAAGTGCTTTTATGGATCACTCTTGGGGGACACTTTTATGGTATATGTTTTATGACATCCATGTAAGAAATTATTGTCCAATAATTTTATAGTAATAATTTTGTGAGATATTCTTGGCCAAAATTCTTATGGGATTCTTCTGTGGAACATTGCTGTAAGGCATTCTTTTCGAGCTTTTTGCGGGATATGTTTGTCGATATTCTTGCGGAACACTTTTGTTACAATGGGTCATTGGGGGACCCTCTTAGATAATTTTTGTTTGATATCTGAGGAAATACTTTATAGGAATATTTTGTGGGATCCTCTTGCGTCGCACCCTTGTAGGACTCTTGTCGGTTATTCTTGTAGGATTCGGTAGGGCATTCTTGTGGACCATTATTCGTAAAATCTCCAAACGTCAATCGTTACGTCTCCAAAAAGCGTTTCGTACAAGATTTACTCCTCAACAAAACGAATGTATCGTAAAAGATTTCTTCGAAATTCACTTGTCAAATCTTCAAAAAGAATATTTCGTATGAGATTTCGTCAAAAACCAATATTTTAAGTCAGCAAAACTGTTTGCGCACGAACCTTCCTTTAAAAGTCACGCGTCAAAGTCTCCTAAACAAGCGTTTCGCACGAGATTTCCTCCAAAAGTCACATGTCAAAGTCTCCAAAGCGAACATTTCGCACGAAATTTCCTCTAATAAAAGACAAGTAGGAAGCTCCATCGGAACACTCACATCAAGTAGCCCTATCAAGCAATATCGCGATTCTAGACCCTCCAAACAACACCACATACACACCAATCCCCATGTCACAACGACATTCACCTCCTCCACAACTCGCAATTTCACTATTCCCTGCACCTGCTACGAAATATTACACGTCCACATTTCCAATACACACAAAATATTGCGCTTGCCACGAAATGTGACCCCCGCCTATCTCGCCCTGCGCCTGCCACGAAAATTGCATTTCCACACCTCAAGACCCGCACAAAGTAATTATCGTACTTGCCGCGAAAAATGACATCATTATTTCATATTAATTTCAACCAGATAACCACAACGCTATATATTTGGAATGATTTCGACACGTCCTCACCACATTCCGTCCACAAAAATCACCATTTGAACTAAGATTTGTCTCGAAAATACTGCTTCGACATATTACCCTGAAACGCAAATCCGAATATCACAGCCCCATTCAACACCCCAAAAATACCACCCTCCAAAAGGCAATGCTAACGTGATTGCGCAGAAAACATCATCCAAACATATTCCTTTAATATTTCCTTAAATAACGAATTGCGAATATAAAATACTAAATGCATATTCTAATTAGGGAAATTGCATAAATTAAGAAATATTGTTTATTTTTTTTAATATATTTATAGGCGTGGCCAGAAACCCTGGAATGGATCGTTCCGAGCTGCAGCGAAAATGATCCAAATTCTATGGATCAAAGCATTGGTTCAAGCCCTATGGATCATATGAGTGGTTCACTTGCTCCAAGCACTTGGTCCAAGCGACACAGTGGACTCAAAAAGCTGTATCTGAATATGTACGTATTTTTGCTCGCCTTTGTCATGCCATGTATCTGCCCATATCACAAGGATGCATGGAATGCCCAAGCAATGCAACAACCTCATCGATAAAAATATGTTCATAATCATTTGATGTTCAATCCATTGCCTTCCGGTAACTCTTTTCTGGACTAATATATTTCCAATTTTTCAATCCACCAAAAGTAAACAGGTAATTGGATTGAATTCACCACTCGATTTTCGGCCACCAACAATTTTCCGAAAAATAGATTCCGGTAAGTTGAAAGTGCCCGCCGTGACATAGTAGGTTCAAAGAGTTGTATGCGAATGCGAGCAGGCGAAGTCCCAGAAAAAAGCCTGGAGCCTTTGGAAAAGACATTGCGATAATAATTTTTACGTCCAATTCCAAGCCTCATCAGGATGTAAACGTTCTATACTTGTTTAGAAGAAAAATATATAAAGAAAATTCCAAAAGCAAAATTTCCATCATATTTAACGGAATATATTGAATTAAAAAATTGAAATGGTAGGTGTCCCTCATTCACTTCAGGCCTGGGATATACAGGCCCGTATTGGACTGTGCAACTAAAGTTATGGAATGATCGAGAGCTTCAGATGCCACGGTCACAAAAGTACTAAGCATGATGAAGGTGCTATGCAGAAACGCCTTTGCCAAAAATTCAGGTTCGTGAGTCAAAGGCTTGCTTCAGGAGAAGGCCGTAGCCACTAGATCCGAAAGGTCTGACGGATTGCGCAACTATTCAATTGGTCGGCGCCACCACAGGCTCAGGCTGCAGGTCTTAAGGCACCAGCCAGAACAAGCATGCAACACGTCGAATTGGATCCATGATTGAACACAAAGCAGCTCCTCTTCCGTCATCTGTCATCCATGAGCTACCGGAGCTCCAAAACATGCATTGATAGTGGCCTGCAGTGGGATCTTGGCCAAAATGGTATAGGATCGAAATAATTCGATATGATTTCCATTCCACTTAAGTGTCGGAACTATTGGTGAATATCGGCAAGTAGACCTCAGTGCGTGCAATTTCCCCAACAACATCATATTTCTGATGAAGATTTGGGAGTCGCTCCAATTGTAGAAGAATACGTGGATGTTCCATGGGCGCAGGCATAAATAAGTGGTATTTCTCCATGCCACAAATTAATTAGTATCTGAAGGTCGCATCGCTCTTCGGCCGGCAGGCGCAGAAGGATAAGAGCTAAAATAGCCCCACGGTCTTCAATGCTTTGAACCAGTCTATTCTGGCATCCCCAATGTAGCTGACCCCATGCGCGGTCTACCAACATTTGCGCCCGCAGCCACCCAGCAAACCCCGCAACATCCTACTACGTATCCATGGCATATTCATGGAACTATCCCTGTAAGAAAATTCGAAAAGATGCATTCTCACAAAGACCCACCATGACCGGTGAGGTCTCAAGCAATGCCAGAAGGGACTTATCCCAATGCCCCCAAAGATTCATATGAAAATAATCTATGGCCAAGAAAGCCCACAATTGCCCCAAGAGCACCCCATTAATCTAGCAATGGTTCTATGGATTGCGCAGCTTCGTGTATAGCAATTTCTAAACTAGCGCCGTGCACGGTGGGCAATCGCCAGCAAGCGGTAATCTTTGTAGGCCTATTGCCCTGAAATTCATGAGTATCAATTGGCCAACTCAATTTCCACTAAAGGTGTTCCAACCGTTATGCGGCTTCCGATCGGATTGAGATGTCGAGCCGCCAAGGGATTGTTGTCTGGGCGTCCTTCGGAATGTGATCCTTGTTCATAGTGCTGAAAATCTGTAGATTAAAGCTACCTATATGGCCAATTGAGATAACTTAATCATAATTTCTTTGATCTTGGTTTAAGGAAGTGGCTCCTCTTAAATGGGGCGCAAATTGTAAGGAATTGGACCGGTATTTCGATTTGCCCCTTCCCTTGGTGGAAGCAGTGGATGGCAGTGCTTCGGTCCTGGGTCTCTTGAAATGAAATTGGCAGATATCGAGGAGATCGGCAAATGACATATCGTCCATCGACATATCGTGTAATATGATCGTAGGCTTCAAGATCCAAGACGAAATCACGGGACAATGCGTGTTCGAATTCAAACAACACAGCACAAAAATATTACAATTGTTCGGCAACATCTATTTCGAGGTTCACAGTAGACGAACCCACTATATTTCCACGTTTAATGTCCAAAGCCAAAAATATGGCAGGAATTATACAATTCAATTAATAATGCAAATCAATGCATGTGCCTATAATAAATAATAGAAATAAATGATTCTGTGAATGGAAAAACGCACGACCCAAAGCATACCTTTTCATGAAGGTCATGAACACCTGAGAAAGGTGAACCGGTCAATACGACCTGCGTTTGGCTCAAGGAACAACGTGAGCGGCTGTTTTTTCGTCGGTCGCTCTTGAGGCTTTTTCCATAACCACAGGTTATGAGCCCAAAGAGCTTGTGAAGTCCACCCTCATTTGAGGTCGCTGGTCCCCATGAGCGGCTTGATGGCGCGGCGTCGGCGCTCCTCCCGTGAAGGAGGCAGGCTGAGGGATCCAGGAGATCAAGGAGGGCAACTACGTGTGGGAGCAGCTGACGAGAGGCTAGACACCCTCCTCGAGGAGGCAAGGGCAACCTCAATGCCACCTGCTGTGAAGAGAGTTGGAGGGGCTCCAGCGGCTGGCGAGGCGAGAAGATCTTCGACGGCGGCAAGCGGAGCTGAAGGAAGACAACAAGGTCCAGCGTCTGAACGGCATGACCGAGGAGCTGGCTGGCAGGAGACGGTGAAGCAATCCCTTGAGTTGTTGCAAAGGGCCTTTGGACCAACTTCCCAAGGACCGATGCCGGTGGGACCTCCGCCTCCTGAAGGACTTCTTGGACCTCTATTTCATGGCCGCGATCCAGGACACCCTCGCGCTGATGATCCGGGACAACCTGGAGGGCAAGGGGCTTGGCAGCGGGAGGCAGCGTCATCGCCTCAGTTTCCAATTCCGCCGAAAGCGGACAGGAGCAGCATGAATGGTGAAGGTGGTCCACAACCTTGAGTACTTGAGCCCTACGACATGTCCACACCCCATCAACATGGGCGGCAGCAGACCAATCCTTTTTGGAGTGACCGTGGACGTGCACCTGATGTGGCATCCCGTTCTGAACGTCCTCGACCCCCTAGTGAAGAGGTGAAAAGAAGCCCGACGTCTCAGGAGCTGGAAGCCATCCGGGAGCGCATCCTTCGTGAAGCCCACTTGAACTTTGAGAAGGAGGTCAAGAAGCTGACAAGTGGTGGAGGTTCGTCGACGTTTGAATCGGCGAATAGTGTGGGCGAGCGGGCGAAACTTCGTGGTTCCACTGATGGTCAAAGTGGGAACTCTGGTGATGGTGTTGGTGAGTCACTACCTGATCGACCCCCTGGATTACATGAGACCACGACCGGGACATTGTCTTCAGGGTTTGGTAGTGGAGCAGGAAAGGTGACCAGAATTGGGGCTGGAATTCCCGTGGCATCGACGACCGAGGCTCTGCGAAATTTGGAGCTTCCCTCACTTCCAGCACCTAATGGAGAAGGAGCTTCGATTCTCTTCGGCGACTGGCTGACGATGGCATTCCCGCTGATGGCTGACATCTCCAACTCAGCGAAGGCCTGGTGGGAAGAGTCTCTGATGGTGGCGCAGGAGCACTACTCGCGGTGGTTGCGACTGAGTCCGCTGAGATCGAAACCTCAAGTTGAAGTGGATCCAGCATTTCAACGGATTGAACAGCGTGGAATTGCCATGCTCTTGGAGCACTACCTGATCAGCTTCGTCGGGACTTGGTGTCTGGCAGGCAGCTGTCCGTGGTGCATATCCTGTACCGGCTCCATGTGGCGTACCAGCCAGGAGGCGGCGCTGAAAAAACGCAACTCCTCAAGAATTTAGTGGAGTCGAAGTTCTCCACATCGGTGGGAGAATTGTTGATGCAGGTCCGGTTGTGGCGACGTTGGCTATCTCGTACTCAAGAACTTCACCTCAACCTTCCGGACCCTCTGGTCCTCATGCACGCCCTGCAGCGCATGATCGACAGCACCCAAAAGGCAGGCGGCACTCAGGTGTCATTCAGGATTTTAAATGTTCGTCAAGAACTCCGAGTTGACTTTGCAGCTTCACTGGAAGGAGTCACTGAGCTAGCTGAGTATGTGCAGGCGGAGATCGAAGAAATGTCCCTCACTGCAGCTCAGAAGGGTGGAGCACCACTGGCTCAGCCGGCGGCCTCGTCCAATCAAGCGGCCTCGACGTCACTGAAGGCTATGGCATCGTCGTTTGGAGCAGCTGAGAATGAAGAGCGAGCAGCGGGAAGGCTTGCTTGCAAGTTTTGGAAGTCGGAGGAAGGCTGCAGGAGGGGAACATCTTGCACCTATGCCCACGACACCTCGGATATGAAGAACCGGTGCTTTGGTTGCGGTGGGAACCACATGAAGCGTGAATGTCCTCACCAACCCAAGACTGGAAAGACTGATCCAAAGAAGGTCTCAAAGGTGAAGGCCACGAAGGAAGGAGAGAAGGGGGAGACCGTCGAGAAGATCGCCAAGGAGCAGCCCACAAGTGAAGAGCCGTCTCCGGGGTCATCGTCGCCTCCTACCACAACCACTTCGAGAATGGCGGAAACACCTGAGAAGCCACTGGGTCGAGAAACTACGGCAGAGTTGCTATCGGAGGCAACGTCTTTGCTCAAGACACTTCGGAGCATGAAGGTGCTTCGTGTGAAGGAATTGAAGCCGGTTGGCACTGATAGTTTGGCACCTGTTGGATTGCTGGATGGAGGGGCGACCAATGGTCTTCGTCGAGCACATGAGCAGGAGCTGGAAAGGATGTACCCGGTGAGGGTGGAGTTGGCCTCAGGGTCAACGACGTTGTTCAGGGTGGATGACCACAAGACCTTGCTGTCCAAGGACCACGTGGAGGTCATTGTCCCACTCCATCGACTGGTGGGTTTGGGGTATCGGCTTCAGTGGACGGCGGCTGGAGTGAAGATCAATCACCCTGATCATGGCAGGATTGACTGCGCGTTTCGTGGGGGATGTCCGGTTCTACCTGAGGCCAAGGCGCTGGAATTGCTCAGCACCATGGAGAAGGCAGATCGGGGGAGATCTTCACTGATGATGAGGTAAGATCATGGTGGTCATCAAGATTTTCTGAGGTCCCTGCGGAGGTGTGGGAGTTCATGAAGGGCCAGGACAGCTTTGATGCTTGCACTTGCCCCTGGAATCGACGTCAGCGGCGACGACACCTGGCGTCTCGTGGTGTGATTATCAATCTCTTTGCCGGGAAGGACTATAAGAGTTGGTCTAAGACGGACTGGGGTGGCTTCGAGATTTTGAATGTGGACGTGACGATGGGCGCACAGTTCGACCTCCATGGCATTGGAACTTGGGGTTACCTATGTCATCTAGCTCGACGAGGCTTGGTGGTTGCTGTGTTGGGAGGGCCGCCGTGTCGCACGGTGTCGCGATTGAGGCACCGAGCTCCCGGTCCACGCCCTTTGAGAGGTCGAGATGACCGCCGATTCATGCTGGAGGGACTTTCTTCGCCGGAGCAGGAGCTTGCCCTCAGCGATTGTGCGTTGATGATGAAACAGATTGGTCTATGGCTCCTCGCTGATGAGCATCGTGGAGGACGACCAGCACCTGGATTCCTGATGGAGTCGCCAAGAGACCCCATGGATTACATGCCAACTGAGGCCACCAAGGAGGACATGCCGAGTTTCTGGAACTTTGAGGAAGTGAAGAAGGCCAGAGAGCTGATGGGCGCATCCTTGCTGACCATGGATCAAGGGCCTATGGGCCATGTTAAGAGAAAACCAACATGTTTGATGGTCGCCAACCTCCCACAAATGAAGGAGTTAGATGGCGTGTCCGGAGAAGGTAGAGGAGAAGTTGAAGCAACATCGCTCACTGGGAGACTGGCTCAATCGAGGGAGTGGTCGTCCTGGGCACCGGGCTTGGTGGCAGCGGTGAAGGAATGCTTAAAGAACTTCCTCCTGGACTACAGGCGCAGGTGGAATGCGGAGGAGATTGTGCACCACGGCGAACCTGGAGTGAAACGAATGAGCATGGAAAGTTGGAAAACCCATGTTCGAAATCAACACCAACCCTACAGGAGGGATTGTCGGCGATGCATGGAGCTGATGGGCGTAGATGCACCGCACCGGAGGACATCAGGAGATCGATCAGCTCACTGCTTGTCCTATGACATTCTGGGACCAATGCCACTGGGAGATGATGTGGGCTTGAGCACAAAGGCGAAATACATCATGGTGGCAACGGTGGCCATTCCAAAGCTGCCTCGTGGTTTGGGGGGAGATGGAGATCATCCGCCAGAAAATGATGAAGACTGCCCTGACGATCGAGAAGATGGTGAACAAGATCCAGCCAATCAAGGAGGCGATGGAAATCCCGCCGATCAAGAAGTTGGCGAACAGGTTCTGCCTCAGCTTGATGAAGTCGAAGATGAGGACCGGGTTGCGGAGGAGGATGCAGTCGCTCTCAATGAAGGCTGGAGAAAGCACATTGATGATCTGGCTGCGCCTGTGGGAGTTCAAAATATTACACTGGTGGAGCCCCTGGAGTCGAGAGGTCAACATGATGTCACAAAGGTGGCCACAAGGATGTACTGCCGCTTCAAGGCGATGGGCTTGAGGATCATCCGTGTCCACACCGACAGAGAGTGCGCTTTCTTCTCCAAGGTGTTCCAATCCTTCTGCCGGCGCTTTGGTCTTTACCAGACTATGACGGGGGGCGATGAGGGCCCTTCAAATGGGAGAATTGAAACGGAGGTGCAGCAGGTTAAAAGACGGCTTCGGATGTTGGTCAGAGAAAGTGGCCTTGGTGAAGAGCTATGGCCTGGCATCGCTCGCTATGTTGGCGAGGAACGACTGCGGCATCAATGCACCAAGCTTGGAGTCCCTTGCACACCGCTGATGCCAATTGGAGCCCGTGTCACTGTGAAAACCAAAAGGTGGCACAGAGCTGGTTTTGGGCCGTTGATTCCGCCCTTTCGCACGATGACCATCCTCGGACCATCACCTTTCATGACGGAGGGCTATGTGCTGAGGGAAGGTCAACAAGTTCAACACGCACGTGTGGTTGTCCTCACTGACCCGATGGCTGATCGAGCTGTTCTGGAACTTCAGGAAGCTTCCGATCCGTCGCGCCCTTCACACCGGGTGATGGGGAAACAGCCGCCTGATCCGTGCTTGCCGCAGATTCCGGCACCAAGGTTGAGTGATGATCTACACCTTCAAGCTCTTCAAGCTGAACATGATGGTTTGGGGGGAGAGCACAAAGAAGTTGGTCCAGCCCGTCACTTTGTTTGGTCTGGGGGGGAGTCTCTCCTCCTGAAAAGCAGTGATGGTGGTGAAATTCGAAAAGGAAATGATGGTGCACACCGTGAACCATGGGTGTGTGGCGAATGCGGTCTTCAGGTGCTCCCGGTGAAGTGTGGTGACCGGCGGGAGTATGTGATCGGCAAATTGAAGGAGGTGGAACAGTGTCGCTTCTGTGAAACACCATTCGAAACTCCAGGCAGTGAAGTGATGCTGGGGCGTGTGGAGTGTGAGCTGAACGAGGCACTGAAACTCCGCGAACATGGAGAAGAAGAACACTGGAGCTGGAAGCGTCTATGGTCGGATCTCGCAAAGGATGTGGTGGTAGGTGAAGATGAAGGGACAATGCAGGGCTACATCCTCGACTATGTGGAGAAGATGGTCTTGGAGATGGAGGACAAATTGACTGGCATGCGAGGCGATGATGAGAAGGTCCAGATAGCGGCAATGGCTGTTGATGCCTCACAATCGCCGGAGCAGCAGTCAGTCCACTCGGTCCTGCAAACCTACACGGTGCCACTAGCCCAGGTTCGAAAAGATCTTCCACTATGGATCCCGCCTCTCAAGAATGAGGTAACATCGCTGGAAACGTCAACGACAGCGGTTCGGCCTGTGAAGGTGAAGGAATTGGTGAATGAACCGGGCTACGAAGAGATGCTGGTGGTCCCATCGAAGGTTGTCCCGACGGTGAAGGCCCCGGATGCTCGCAAGAAAGCCCGTATTGTTCTTTGTGGCAACTTGGTGGAGGACACCTCAAAACGTCGAGAACAACCTATGGTCCTTGAGGATCGTCAAGATGACCTACCGCCTCAACAGAAGACCATGGGAAGCAGTTTTGACCTATATGCCAGTGGCATCGATGGAATGTCATTGAGGTGCACGTTGCGAAAAGCGGCTCAGGAGAAGTGGTCCATCGGGGTCACTGATGTCTCTACGGCATTTTTGCTTGCACCTCGCAAATCGTCCAGGCTGATGGTGACCAAACCGCCCTCTATACTGGTGGAAGCTGGACTCATCGAACCTGACATTCGCTGGGTGATCGAGAAGGCGGTCTACGGCCTGGACACCTCTCCTTCTGACACTGCGCCTCGTCCCACGGCAGAACGTTTCCTGAAGAAGCTCTCAACCATGTGGAAGTGCGCCGAGCCAAAGTGGGTGACTCAGCACCAGTGGTTGAAATTTTGTGGCATAGAGATGAGGTGGAAGGGTGATGAATTGTTGGTGGGGCAGCCTGACTACACGCGGGAAATTGTTAGTCGGTATCCTGACCTTCAGCCTCGCCAAGTTCCTCTTCCGAAGCTGGACGATGTGGACCTGGAGGACGAGATTCTGCTTCAGGAGGATGTGAAAAAATGTCAAACTATCATTGGTGAGCTCCTTTGGTTATCAACACGCACCAGGCCTGATTTGAGCTTTGCGGTCGCCTACCTGGGCTCCAGAGTGACAAAATGCCCGAAAAGAGTGCTCAAGTTGGCTCATCATGTGGTGGGGTACCTCATGAACACCTTGACTATGCGCTCGCCTATAAGCCCTGTTCCCAGGAGATGGACTCCTATGG